CACACGTCAGTCTGCTGCAGCCTGCACTTTGGCCATTTCCTCCTTTTACTGTTTTAAGCTCTCTAGAAACTTATTACGTTCCTTGTTTTTTAGTTTAAGGCTTCGCATCATGCTATCTAATGTTGGGTCTCCTAGTTGCAACTGGATCCATTCGAGATGGCATTCGTAGTCTTTCCACTTGAAGAAAAACTTCAATATACGAGTGCATTCTGGAGAAGGCTCCACCAAAGAAAGGAATATTAGATCATTTATTCATCAGAAATCCCAAACAATAACTTACAGTTAAGAAGAGTTCTTCTGCTGAACATATCATGACCCTTTCCATCCCTTTGGTGTTTATCTGAATGAGAAGAATAAGGTTAAAGCAGAAATCTTGTTTGGACCATCACAGTGAAAAATTGAAGGTGAACTCACCCCATGGCTCTTATGGGACACATCACCTCATGTCCTTCTTCACAAAGACCTCTTTTACAAGCTGGCACGTAGCCAGGATATCCTGTGATGAACTTAGTAGCTCCTCCTACTGACCTGTTAACATGGGATTTACTGAATAGCTAAAACTACATTACCCATAAGCCATCTCTTAAGGAGACAGCGCTTAACCTTATAAATGCCAAACATTTTAACATACAGACCCATCTAACTGGCTGATCCAGAACAATACACACAAAGGTAGAAACAGTTCTATTCTCATAGAATTTGACACAGTATTGGAATGTGTTAAAGAACCTTCTCCCCCTTTTAAAGAAGTTGTTGTACCAGCTCTGTCCCACATTTGTTAGAATAATATGCCTTTATGGAAATAAGCAGCTGTTGTTCTTTTAAACATAAGAACAATTAATAGAGAAATTAAACAACTTTTACAATGCAATATATTACTAGCTGTCTAAAAAATGAAGAGGGATATTGGCATGAACTGTAATTACTAGTTATTACTACAGGGGACTTAGAGGGAAAGTTCAAATTATATTATTTAAAATAATTTACTATGTCTTTTTCTTTCCTTTCTACACACATACACACACAATCTTTTCCTCATTATTCATTTGCAGAATATTGTTCTGCATAAGTCAGAATTTGTGCGTTATTAAAACAGCTTAATAAGTATCTAAAAGATATAATTTTGCAAGTTACTAAATGAATATTTTATGAATGGCCATTCTCAACAGATATAGTTCTGCGTAATTTAATGTTTGGGCTCTGAAATATATGATTGAGAAAGGAAGGCAAGAATCAGTATATAAGATAAAAATATTGATATGGTAAAATGATTTATGATCAAAGTTTGTTTAAGGAACATGTTTATCTGTTCACATCCCTAACACCAACTCCAGTGCATCTGTACAGTGATGACATTGGAACTTTTGTGGGCTGTTTTCTCCATACAATCAAAAGAATGTTAATAATTCCTCTTATATCATTAAAATGAATAGTTTATTCCAAAAGCCTTTTTATACATAATGGGATGAATTCAAACTTTTCACGTTATATAACATTTTATGCTGTCAAAAGATGTGACATTTTTGTTTACTAAAGCATATATTGTCCACCTTATTACACAATTATTGTCATGATCTATTCTATACGAAGTTCATTTGAACCAGCAGAGCTATGAAGAAATAAGCTGTCCCTTGTGCGAGTCCACTATTCTGATGTAATTGTGGGAAGTTAACCCAGAGAAGGAAATATTAAAAAGGCAGGAAAAAAATATTGTTCACCAAAAGGATTTTTAAAAGCATTTTTTTGAAAAGCAGAAACCAAACCTGGCCTCATCTCCTTGCCCAGGGCAGTAGCTGGTCTTATACATATGCAGATGTGGAACCATCAGAAAGTTTGGAGCCAGGGATCTCAAGACANATGCCACAGGAACAGGAAACTTCCAGGCAGGGCTAGAGGGTATAAAAAGACCATCTGCCCATGTGCTCACTCTCTTTTCTTCTCCTCTGCTGCTTATCTGTCTTCTGCAATAAACTGTAACCTTCTTCCCAAAGCAGTCGCCATGTTTGCTTATTTATTCCCGGCTTGGATGAACCAGGATGAAGACTTACTTCTAACATAAGAATGCAACAAGGTTTAGGGCCTGCAATGGTAAGTCTTCTACTCAAGTTGGTTCATAATGGAATAAGAGGGAGCAGTTCTTACAATAATCTGAATCCACGTAGATGCCATAACCAGCACTTTAAAATGAAGGAGATTCATCAGCTTCTTTTGGATATGGTATCTTGTTCAATCCAAGATAAACTTGATAACAGCTCAAAAATATTGCTCATCTTCTTTTCTCTCTTTTTGACAGAATAGCAACATAGACAAAGGCATTCTTTAACCCCCCCCCATCCAATTCTTCTTTATCTCTTGCATCATTGTGTTTGATCCCCTAAATCAGGACTTTTCAATCTTTTCACAGATCGTACCACTTTTAGGACATAACAATATTCGAGTACCACCAATGCTTAGCAAAGTGTCAAAATGTGACCATGAAAAAAAATGGGGGGAATTTTGGGTTTTATTGATTAGATTGATTTGTTGATATAGAAATGGCTAGCTTATACTACTACGGAAAAGTAAAAAAAATGAGGTTCAATGTTAATGCTTCATTCTACTGCAACAGAGAAAGTCGGAAATCAATGCCTTTTCTTTTCTTTTTCCCTTCTCCCCCTCACTTTTCTTTCCCCTTTTCCTCCCTACTGTGATCTTACTATTTGCTTCTGTATTTTTGTATTTTATTCTATAATCTAATAAAATGTTACAAACCATAAAAAAGGAAAGAATTACCGGTTTTACTCCTCCTTCTCCTCTCTCCCCCCTCTCCTCCTTTTTTCTTCTGGGTGCGCGCTGATCCTGGGCTCTCAGCAGAGCCCCGACAACACCGCAGCTCCAGCTGAATCTCTACCAGAAGACTGTGTGTGGCTGTCAGCCACCCCCAAGGCCACTGAAGGTGCAGATCAGCCGGAGCCACACATGCCGATCCTGGGCTCTCAGCAGAGCCCTGGCAACATCGCAGCTCCAGCTAACTCTCCCCCAGGCCTCTCTGATGCTGCTGCCGCTTCAACTCATCCACTTTTACCCCCTTTTTTACAGTGCTTTTCAACCTGTGATACGTGTACCACCTGCCAGGTGCTGAAATACCACCAGTGGTAGGCATACCATGGGTTGAAAAGCACTGCTTTAGATTAAATACAGCTGTACTAAGAGAAACTATTCTTTTTCAAATAAATTAATCATTCTTTCTTAAAAGCGCAAGGTGTTCTTATGTGGTTTTTTGCTCAAGAAAAAGGAAAAATGATTTCTTTGGATTTAAAGCTTAGAAAGATGATGCAATGTTGCAAAAATTACAACAGGTTTGTTCCACATTTTAAATAGTCTCAGTTCTGTTTAGATACTGCACACTTCACTGAGTTCAGGAGGTAAATGTTCATGTAAATATTGCCACAATTTCCTACCAGATGAGAGTCTGAAAGTTTTGTCTGGTGACATACAGCTGTGGCCAGTCATTGCTACAATTTCAAGAAAACCGACGGACCTCCTTCCAGTAAATATACTTTAAAACTGGTACAGAGGAAAATGTGAATAGAATGTCCTGGATGCTATTTGGCAAATATTACACAACTAATATATAAGGAAGTATCTCACTAAATATATTGAAATGTCACTGGTTTATCTCAATGCTTTGCTTGGACTAGCATACAAAATTTCAATTATGGCAAGAAGAGGAAATGTTAACCATCTTAGGTATTCCTTTATGTGATTGCTTTGCTCCCACAAGAAAATCATGATTTAGCTAAAAAGCAAGGGAGCCATGGATTTTACAGAGATATCTCTGTCATCATTGTGAGATGTAAAAACCCCAAATTTTGATACTCACAATAAGAAGACAAGTCTGGTTAACAAAACAAAGTTTTATTGGAGAATAACATAAAAAGTGAAAAAAGAGAAGAAAAGAGAAGGCATTTGCAAATGCGGCCTCCTGGATCCTTCCCAATGGATTGGGTTCCAGGAGCACAACAAACAGTTTCCAAGCTTTGCATTTTATATTTTTTACAATGCAGGTCACATCTAAGAAGCTCTGTCATTCTTTGAAGTTGTTTTTACACTTAGGAGGTCATCCTGAACTCTTCCGTCCATCTGCTGTTATCTTGTTTATTTGTAATTTTCACCTTGGGTCAAAATCCCCCTTTTTGATATTCCACTTAAAGTGTAAGTTCCTGATAGGCATAATCTAATAAGAAAAAGTTGTAGGTAACCCTGTAGCTGTGGTTGTAAAAAAATGCTTCTCCTTCCCCCCTTTTCTTTAACAAAAAAGGACAGCAAGTGTTGCCATTTCAGTAGCATTTCCCAGAGTCTTGCCATATGAAGCCGGATTATAACTGCTTTTGTCCCTAGCCAGCAGTTTTTAGGGTTGGTACTCCCAACCCACCTGGAACCCTAGACTCTCAGAGCAGCAAGTTATCCTCCTGATCCCAAACAACCCTTTTAAGCAATTAACTGCCGACCAGAGAACCCGTGAACGCTGCCTGGAATCAACACCATTCCTATATCCACTAAACGAGAGGAAGAGGCCCTTTAGCTGTTCTCAGCTGGATCATCGCGCCGACTGTTCATTAATGCCGGGGAAAAAGCAAGACTGCAGGTCAGCGTCATGGCGCCTTTCTTCCTAACCGATCCGGCGGATGCGGCGGCTATAGATGCCCAGAATCCCTCCTATCCATTTCGGGCAGATGTGTTCCACCCAAAGCACCTAGAATGGTCGTCCTGGAGGAAGCAGCCGCGAGGAAAAGCGACCAACCGACTAAGCGAGCAAGCGCTCCCTAGACTTAAACAAACAAAATAATAAATTCTGAAATCATGGCCACGCACCGGATGGCAACTGGGCTAGCCAGGTGCAGTTGTCAATGAATCGCTTTACTGGTTCTGCTGAGCCCCTACGTAGGTTGACGTCGAGAAGGGGGAGGAGGGGATGCTGATCGCTGTGCCGCCGCATGAAACTGCCGCCGACCATTCATTCATTCAATAGCGCGATCTGCCACGCTTTTCCTGGAAAGATTTTAATATAGCCGTGGATCCTTACATCAGCGTGTGGTGACGACTGAGAAAATATTTACACGCGTTCCGCTTCAGCGCGTCCAGTAAAACCCAGCCCAACAGGAGCTCCTGGCGCCCGAGCGAGGTATCTTACAGGAGCCCCAAGAAAAAAAGCGCAAGGCAGAGACGCAGCTGAGGCATCGCGGTTTGGATTCTTGGCTGAGGGAGAGAAAGGCATCGGTCGCCTTTACAGGTAGGTTGGGTGGGCAAGAAAAGGCCTCTTCCCCACCTCGCTCTAGACACGAGTCTAAACAGAGAAAGCCTGGGGGCTGACGGGACTGACGGCTCGAAAAGCGGCTTAGCGTGCCGGGCCTTTTTTCTCCAGCCACATGGCAGACGGACGTCAGAGAAGCAAAGCTGACGCGAGATAACCTTTATTGTGATTTTTTTTTTACTGTGGGCACAACGGCACACATCAAAAATGAAATTTAATTGCCCGCTCTCAAAGTGAAACATACATGACACACACCTAAACATACTATATACAACATATGTATAGACCCACACCCCTACATATACGACGCTGCCTTGCCCTGGGCAACCATGCCTTGAGGAGAAAGCCGCGTAGCGGGCGAGGAATATTCCTGCTCCTAATACGCAAGTGGGCCTCGTCTCCCGCGAGCACTGAGAGTGGTGGTTTCACTAGACTTTCAGACGGGCGAACCAGGTTATTTTTTTTCCCCTTCCTCCATTATTTAAAAGAAAAAGGCTCGGAGCAGCATTATGGGTGACTGACGAGTCATTTCCGTTCGAGAGAGAGGAAGATACCCTGGAAAAATTCGTGTCAGATACAGCAATTAAAAAGAACGGTTAAGGGTAGGAGTCGAGTGATGCTTCTGTGCAGAGGTTTTAATATATCTTGGAAAATAAATGAAACCATCAGTCTTACAGCATTTGGAGACTGGGAGAAGAAATCTTTTTACGAAAGATTTCTACCTGAAAGCCTCTGTCCTTCTGCGAGCCGTCTCCTCTTCGTTCTTTTCTTTTTAAAATTGCACTTTAATTAAAAGAAAAAGAAACAATCTATTGACTAAAAACTGCGTGCATTTTGAATGTGAATTTCTTTATTTAAGCTTCGTTCTAACCTTGGCCTAATCCATTCCCGTTGAAGTGTGTCCTGCTGAAATCTGAATTGTTGTTTTTTTAAAAAAAATAATCATTAAATCCAATGGTTTTTTGTCTATTTTAAAGCCCTGGTGCTAGTCTGTTGTCTATTGAAACATAACTGATGCTTTACAGATTCTGTAAAGTTTTTTTCAAGTTTAGATATCAGTTAATAGAAATAAATAACTGACATTTATTTCTGGTTCTTTTCCCCCAAGTTACTTCACTAGGAGTTGTGATATGCTAGGAATGTAGACCAGCCCCAGTATGCATAAGAGACTTAGCATCTTTTCTTGTCTTTGTTTCAGAAAGAATCTATTATTTTATTTCATGGTTTTTACAGATATTACAGATATTACACATATTTCAGAACATTTGTTTCATTTGTATGCAAGGCAGAATTAGAATCTGTTGGTTTCATTTATTGCCATCAATTACGAGGAAAAGGGAAATTGCACATGAAAATTATTAATAGCACAATCATCATGACCTTTATATCTAATGTATATATAAACCATTTAATCATGCCAGATATTAGATTTTCCTCTGCCCCATTTTGTTGTTTCTACTTCTTTCATGTTTCTGCTTACTCTTTATTTTGTTTTGCCATTGCCTTTAATTGGACTGAAATGTATTACCTTTGTGGATGTTAATTACATTTTGCTTTTTGATAAAGTGTTTTTGAAGTAACAGAAATATTTTGAGCCCTGTTTGCTTGTTGAAATTATTTTTAATGTACATGCTGTATATGTGTGCATAAAGACTGGGACATTCAACCAACCCTGAATGATCATAATTAGTTAAGACATTTTCAACTGCTTGAGGAAGTGCAATAAGGAACTTGTACAATTTACTAATTGTCTTGGCAAGTGTGGGCAGTTAGTTGATCTTTAAAAAAAAAAGTCAGAGGCAGATCTGGATTAGGTCCAGGAAATGTTTGATTTGAAGTTTAGACTAAGAAGCTGGGGGGAAGGCAGTGAGAAACCACTTTCATAGTTTTTGTTGCCAATAAAATAATATGGATATGTAGGTATTAAGAATCATATTTAACTTATGGAAGGCTTTACCTTTTATTATATTGTTACATGGGAATCCTCATGGTCACTTATTTTTAAGTGAAAACATAGCTTCAAATCAGATTCAAAGTTCAATGATATTTAGGGTGCCATTGTCTCAGACTCCTTTCTCATCTAGTAGGTATATTAATAACATCGGTCCACTTTATCTAGTTATTGTAAAGATTTCAGGGGAAAGGACATGTGACTTTACAGTTGAAAATGATTCCAATTGGGGAAATGGGAAATTTGCATTGGAGATAGAAATTTAATAGTGGTGAATATCTGTGGCTGGGGTGTAGGATGAGGGTGAATGTTCTGAGCTTGTGGGTTGGTTTCTGAATGTTTTGTTAACAGGTTCAGTAACATCTTCAGCAGGATTTAGGGCAGTGATGGCAAACGTTTTAGACACTGAGTGCCCCAAAACCACCCCGTCCCACCCACCTGCCCGCAGGGGCACCTACCATCTCCATGGCCCGCTGCAGCAGATCTCCCAGACAGTCCTGCAGTGCCATGGCGGCCATGCCCTCCGCCTGTGCCCTGCAGCATCTACACGCGACGGGGCACAAGGGCAGAGTCTTGTCCCTGCTCCCCTCCTATGTCCTTGGCTGCGCTGCTCTGCGTAGGCCACGCCCAGGGGCGACTCTCCTCCAGGGGACTGCTGGTGAGGAGGGGGCCATGGGGGGAGGCGGGGCTGGGGCAACAATGGGCGTGTCCACAGAGAGGGCTCTGCGAGCCGCCTCTGGCACGCATGCCATAGGTTCGCCACCACTGGTTTAGGGCAGGGCTTTTCAACCAGTGGTACAGGTACCACCTGTGGTACATTGGCACCTGGCAGGTGGTACGCGGCCATCCTAGAAAAGTGGTAGCGGGGGAGGGGAATGAGCTAAACCAGTGGCAGCACCGCACAAGCCTGAGCAAGAGATGGCTGGAGCTGCAGGGCTGTCAGGGTTCAGGGGAAGCACCAGGATCAGTGCTGCTTTCCAGCTGATCGGCGCTTCTTCAGGACTGTCAGGGCTCAGTGGAAGCACCAGGATCAGTGCCAGGCTCCAGCTGGAGCTCGGCGCTGATCCTGGTGCTTCTGCTGAGCCCTGAAGAAGCACCAATCAGCTGGAAAGCAGCACTGATCCTGGTGCTTCTGCTGAGCCCAGAAGCACCGATCAGCTGGAATGTTGCAGCATCTCAAGGGTCTTGTAATTTACATTCAGATTCTTGGCAACTGATTCATATTTATGACGGTCACAGTGTCCCACTGTCATGTGAAGTGACCAAAACCTGCTGCAACCACCCAGCAGGTAGAGGGAATAAAAATCAAACACTCTCCCACCCCCGCTGCCAATCCTCAGCAGAAATGCTCACAACAATGAAAACCTCGGACAGGAGGAAGAGCGCCACTGGGTGGGCAGGCAGGTGTCTTGCTCGGCTGTGGTTTGGGGGGGCATTTTTTTCAGTGCCATTGTAACTTCAAACAATCACTAAGCGAACTGTTGTAAGTTGAGGACTACCTGTACTTTATCACTTTTTTCCTTTTTTTGGGGGGGTCATCAAGTTTTTGACACCTTGCTTGGCGACTGGTGGTACTTGGATATTTCCATATCCTAAAAGTGCTCACAATGGGTGAAAAGGTTGAAAAGCCCTGGTTTAGGGGATGTCAGCGTTCTTCTGTTTATAAGGGCTTCAGATATGGGTGTGTCAAGTGAGGGTCTGCGATGGGTCAGGTGTGAGTCGTCAGTGAATCTTGTGATAGGTTTGTGATGAGGTTACATCAGGTCAGAAATGTCAGAAATGACAGCCAGAATTCCCCAACGCCTAGGAATAGCCCACAAAACCACAGCCACACTCCATCAGGAATTATTCAGAACCAAAGACAAGATACCGAAGGATGAAATAAACAATGTAATCTACAAAATCAACTGTAACCATTGCAACCAATTCTACGTGGGACAAACACGTCAATTAAAAACTGGGATCCACGAACACCGGCTGCCAGTCAAACGCCACGATCCCAAATCCTTAATCTCTACCTATACTGATACCAAACAGCGCCAGTTCGATTGGAGCAACATAAAAATCAGCCATACTATCACCCGCCACACTCGTGAGTTCATCGAAGCCTGGCACTCCACAAGCAATTCCATCAATAGACACATCGATCTATAACCAGCCTACAAACCCCTCAAAATTCAAAATCAACCACACAACCAACCAGAGACAGCACACACCCTCAACCAACCCACACAAGACCCTTCTCCCAGCAGCAGTTCACCTCCCAATGACCCTGACCTGATGTAACCTCCCCATCATAAGACCCATCACAAGACTCACTGATGGCTCATACCTGACCCATCACAAGACCCATCACAGACCCTCACTTGATACACCCACATGTGAAGCCCTTATAAACAGAAGAACATTGAAATCCCCTAAACTCTACTGAAGATGTTACCTAGCCTGGTAACGAAATGTTCAGAAACCAACCCAGAAGCTCGGAGAACGAACCTTCACCCTCATAGAAATTTAATGCTTGTCCTTCCCATCTGCCAGTCTTTTCTGCTTTGAGGCCCAACTCTGCTCTTCTCTTGTTGACAAATACAGGCTTGGAACCGGTCATTTACTCATACAGTGTTTACTCTGAAATGTAAATATAACGTAATGACACAGTATGTAGGATAGCAAGAACCCACTTTTTGTTAAATTGCTTAGTCACCTTTTCTATTGTTTTCTGACATTGAAGAGTGATCTTGGTTGGGAATCTATCACTACAATGTCCAAACAGGGTGGCTACAACAAATTTAATAAAATAAATACATCTTTCTTTTCTCATAACTTCCTGGAGCTAAACTAAGACATATTATCTAATCCACTAAAAGAACAAAGACATTTATTTAAGTATAGAGAACAGCATAACAATTCACGTGTTCCCAGACTCATCCATTCTGCAACCTTGCCAAAATATTTCTTCCCTTTCATTAAATGTAATTCAATAAATATATATATAATGGTTATTGCTAACAGGATAAGAATAATATTTCTA